GAAACAAGGAATAGTTTCAGACACGTTAGAAGTAAAATTCGCATCCTAAAATAGGAGCTAGAGCTGGACTTACTTGCGATAAACAATATGGCATTCGCTGCAGCAAATAACATCCCTTAAGCCATTCTGAGAAGCCAAAGGCAAAAGACATCGTTAATTTACATACTCGATTGCTTATCATGATATCTCAGAGAACTGTGACAAACAACAGCAAGCACGCATACAAACTGATCGTTTATAAAAACATTATGACAAAAGAATGACTGAGCGCAAACATAAACGGTAGGAAAAGAGAAATAGATCATCAGCGATGTTAGGAGCGAGGCATATTTCCTTCCAGCAATTGAAGTTTTTTGTCAATATCGATTTTGCATCGGATGCGGGTTGACGAAATGCTTCTGTCGTACGTTGAATCAGACTGAAATTGTCCCTCTTAGCAACCCTTATGGGGTGGCAGTGACAGAAACTGCTGTGAAGCAAATTTTTAGCGTGGGCGACCAATTGTTAGTGTCGAGGATGACATTGACGAAATCAACTTTGAACAGAGAATGAAGAATAAAAAAATGCAGTAACGCTTCATCATAATAGTATTGTCCCTTAGTAGCACGCAAGCCCTTTTCATACACAATTTATGATTTGATGAAGGGAAATGTTGCCATAGAGTGAATGTATTAAGAAGCGAAGCCATGTCATTTAAGTTCTGAAATGACCAATCAAAAAAACATGTTTTATCTTTCTCAGGGCAACAACATTCCAACAACTTCTCGATTGTTTGCTCCTGTGCACTATGACGTAAATTCCTTGCATGATAGAATCAACAGCTGGTAAGAAACTTTATGCCACGTTGAAATTTTAGTTCGGCTTCTTTAAAATAAAAAGATACAATGCCTATTTCTTGCGTAAAGAATTTTTAAAAATATTTTATGCATAGTTATCTTTTTCTCCATTTCAGAATAATTTACATATTTTCAAAATTTGAATATGTGCTCATTTTAAACATTTTTCGGCAACTTAGTTCAAAGAATTAACTTTCCTTCGAAGTCATACTTTATCCTGTATAACAATGAAGAGGAGAGACATTTATGTTTCCGTATTATGAACAAATAGACGTGACATGACTTCTACAAATTGAATATACAGTAAACTGCTGCTGTTTTAATCGGTTCGTACGCATTTCGCTCTTACTTCGATGTGGTAATTTTGAAAGATTTTAGGATTTTTCCTGTGTGCATCTTAGTGAGTAAAATTAATAGAACGTGGATTACTAATGAGTGCTTTCAGCAGAGCAGTTTCCAACGGTGTTTGAAACGTACTGCAGGCTGTTCTAGCTCATCGCACGAACGGTGTTAAGTCTGATCGTTGTGTTTTTGAAAGCTTTCGGGTCGTTGTTTCTGGCAGAAGTATATGCTTTAATGTTTTCTTGCCTAAAATGTGTTGTTATTCAATCGTATTTTCATATTTGCTATTCTGACGGCAGTAGGGCAGTGGGTAAGTGGGTAAGACGTGACTGAAATTCGTAGATGCCTAGTTCGGGTCCAAAAATCAGATCTTTTAACTGCTAATTACAAGGAACTCACCCCATTTCGATTCGATGCAACTATCTGGGATTGGGCAATAAGTCGTTGACTTACGAACAACAGTACAATATGGTGTTCTGGCGTGGTCATACCAGAATTCGCGACGCACGGCCATGGTCTCTTACGGCTATTTTACCTTGACCCTTCTTTTAGCTACCGGCTATCCAGTGTTGTAATCAGCACAGGTGTAAACTAAATTTTTTATAAGCAGTTAGTTAATTTAGTAACGACGAAGTACAGAGGTGCCTTGCCCATCTCCGCTTTAATGTGGCTTCAGGTC